TAAGGCTGAACACAGTTTCAAGAACACCCCCTTTTTTATATTATCTAAGTGAGGGCAAGAAATGGTCGTCTTTTTTTTTTTGAGCGTAAATAAATATTTTATCAGAAAATGGTATTGATAAACCAAATCCAATCAAAAAATCACTTCAGTTTGTATTACTTCAGTCATTCCGTTTTTTAAGTTCACCTTCGGCTAAAATAGGAGGCACGGTGGAGTAATGGATAGCGGCTTGGAATGAGGAATCGGAGAGCCGAGTTCGAATTCCAGTCGAATCCATTACTTAGGTGTTAATACCCTTGGGAGAGGTATGAATCCTCCTTTTCTCCCCCCCCCCAGATATGGGTAAATAGCAGGATAGACCTGGTTCTATAGCCTTGGATGTCAAATGGTCTACCGCAGAAAGATAGTGGCAGTTCTAATAACAAATATTATGGAGTACACTTCTTCATGAACCGTGTTCCTTCAGGATGTAGACGATCATGACTCTCCACAACTTCCTGTCTCTTTTAGCCCTTAGCAACATTTGTCTTTTTTGCTATCTTTTCTAATCCCTTTCTGTCAATCATTTACACAAGCTTCTTAGGTAGGCTTATACGTTTCTTTCCTTTGTCCCTCTTTGCCTTCCATATGACTTGTGAGTGTCAGATTTTCCAAGCCTTCTGTCCTCATCATACGCCCGATAAATTTCAAATGTATCTTTCAGATGTTACGTGTAAGTGTCCTTTTTCTTTCCATTTTCTTTAAAACTTCGTCATTGCTCACCTTCCTCAGTTCATGATATTCTCAGCATCCTTCTGTAGAACCATCTCAAGTTTCTTCTTCGTCCGTGATGAGACGGTACAACATCTGCCACCATATTCACCGGATCTACCCTAACTGATTATTAGTCTGGAGAAACGCTTTGATGGAGTAAACATTCTCTAAAGAAAACCAGATTCAAGTGACCACCGAAAATTTTTCACAACAAAATCTGTGGAACTTTATTCAAAAGGTATCAACAAACCATTGCGGGTAACGGTGGATATACAGTGGGTCCTCGACTTACGACAGAGTTTTGTTCCTATGATGCGTCGTAACGCGATGTTTCGTGTAAGTTGGAACCTATACGCAATTTTTCGTGAGTAATTACCCACCTATGCTAACGCAATATTAAAGTAATAATCTAGGACATAACATATTTCAATGGCATACACTCTAGTTGAAATGTTTGAATCAAAATTTAGCATTGGGGGAATTTGACAGAAGAGTGAAAAAAAAAAAAATGAAAAAGAGGTCTTCGTATCATTGAAAAAAATGATCGATTATTAAACTTATACTTTGAGAAACTTTTGCAACGAAAGCCAAAAAATTGTGCTGCAGTAATCAAGGCGAAAGGAGGATATTTTGACGAGAGCAAAATTTAATCATAAAATGTTTTTTTTTCTTTTTGTCATAATAAAATTTCTAATAAAAAAAATAATCTATCACTTTTTTTTTTAATCATGTATAATAATTTTTTCTTATTTAAAGTACAAAACAACTATTTTGGGGACCAGTTTTTAAAAAAATTACCAGCGGTTTCCTCAAACATTTGAACAGTAGTGTATGTTAACGTATTTAGGAAGTTAAAAACACACATGGAGGATATAAATATAGTACAGTGTAACCCGGATGTAAGAGAGTTGTCGGGACCGGAGACGAAGTCTCTTATATCCGGGTTTCTCTTATATCCGGGTCGGGTCTAATTTATATACATTAACACAGGCTCTAATTTGGGACCAGAGAAAATCTCTCTTATATCCGGGTTTCTCTTATATCCGGGTCTCTTATATCCGGGTTACACTGTATATATAATTAAAATGAAATTGTTTTAAGCTGCTTCTGTATTTATTGTCAGTGATGTCATTGGTTCTCGGTAGAAGAGATAAGGAAGCGTAAGGTTTTGTCTTTCTTGCAGTATTCAGAAACAGTAGTAAATCTGGGAAAGAAAGAAAAACGAACTCATGTTTGTTTTTCCTTTTTATCAACTTATAGTCGAATCAAGATTAATGGAGAATCCATCGTAACCACGAATTGTCATAAGTCGGAACTGACATAACACGGAGACTTACTGTGCAATTAAATAAAATATAATTGCACCTTAGTTTTTGAAGAATAAATTTGATAAAGAAAAACAGAAATTACTTATAACTCAACTTGGTACTTCTAAGAATCATGGAGAAAATTGGAATTAGATGTCGATATTTTTCCCGAAAAGTGAACTATTTTATATTTTTTTTTCATAATTGAACTACCTTAACCTTTATAGACTTGAATGATCCTAAAAATAATCGATCTGTAAACGTTTAAACTTAATAATTTGTTCTTTTAACTGAAAGTATTTCAGTCCATTTTTTCCATGAATTCAACTGGTTTTTAATTTAGTTCAAATCTCCAACCAAAGATCAACTCATGCAGAAATTTTCACTTACATAATTAAATTTTTCTAATTTTATGAGCAGTGGACCAACGAACAAAAAAATTTAAAAGACTTTTGTGCTTTTTATCTTGTCTGTAAACATAATGAGGAGTAAAAAAACATAAGAACATAAATATAATGCATATATAATGAAATGAAATTGTTTTGAGCTGCTACTATATTTATTGCCAGTGATGTCATTGGCTCTTGGTAGATGAGATAATGAATCATATGATCTTGCTTGGAGCATTCAGAAACGCAGTTAATCTGGAAAAGAAAGAAAAACAAATGTGAGTTTGTTTTTATTTTTTTATCAGGAATTCAACAACTTATAGTCGAATCAAGATTAATGGAGATTGCATCGTAACCATGAATCGTCATAAGTCGGAACTGATATAACATGGAGACTTACTGTACAATTAAATAAAATATAATTGCACCTGACTTTTTGAAGAATAAATTTGATAAAGAAAAACAGAAATTACTTATAACTTAACTTCATACTTCTAAGAATCATGGAGAAAATTGGAGTTAGATGTTGATATTTTTCCCGAAAAGTGAACTATTTTACATTTTTTTCATAATTGAACTACCTTAACCTTTATAGACTTGAATCATCCTAAAAATAATCGATCTGTAAACGTTTAAAATTAATAATTATTTTTTTAATTGATAGTACGTACTTCAGTCCATTTTTTTTTCAGGAATTCAAACGGATTTTAATTTAGTTCAAAATTCCAAAGATCAACTCATGCAGAAATTTTCAATTACGTAATTAAATTTTACTCATTTTATGAGCGGTGGAGCAACGAGAAAAAACTTAAAAAGATTTTTGTGCTTTTTATCTTGTTAGTTGAATTGATGGTAACTAAGTAATAAAAATTAGAGTCGTACAAAGGACTGACGCAAATGTTGAATATTTTCAAGTATTCGCTTTCAATGAAAAATATGGAAACTAATATTTTTGTACAAAAAAAAAATATCAAGATATCCACAGGGAGATAAATAAAAGAGATAAATTATATTTTAAAAAATTTAATTATAATTTAAAGATATTATTAATATTATTCAAAGTTATTAAATTATTAGTAATTATTTAAAGTATATATTTTAAAGAAATATTATTTTTAAGAATTGTTGTAGAGTAGCTAACAGCTCTTCAGCACTCTACCAGATGGCCTGATCATAGCTTTAAATAGTCTACAATTAAGGACTTCAACAGTTGACACTAAGCTGATTAATATTTGGACTCATCTTACTTCATACATAATTTGATCCTCCTCTATTCCTTTTAAGTTGTCTTGTTAATTGTTTTGTAACTTATTGTTCTGTGTTTTTGTATGTATCCGTTAGCACTGGATACTGGTGCTGAATAAATATATTAAGCACTCATTCTTCTCTTTGTATCATTCACCTCGACGATACAACAAGAATATAATTTAAAAGAATATAACTACAGAAATAAAGGATTTGTTGAAAAGAAATTGTTGGTTTTCATTTAAATATCTAAATTAAAATTCAACATTTTATGCGATTTAAAAATTTGGTGAAGATCAAATTTCAATAAAATTTGATTGATGTCATTTGAAAATTTTTGAAAGAAATTATTCTTCAACAGTCAAAATAAAATAGGTTACAGCCACCAAATTTTTATATACCTTCGACCCCTTTTTAGAATCCTTGACCGATCCATCAACCCCCAGGCATGTACAAAAAATCAATAATAATAATAATATATATTTTTTTTATTTATGGGTAAAGTTTCTTTCGTTATTGTTTTTCGATTAGATTAATTTTAGCTTTATGTTTTGTTATTTCTTTTTCTGTTTTCTATTTCTCTTATACTAAACAATGTATTTGTTCGAATAACAACAACAACAACGATGATGGTTATGATGATGATGATGATGAGAAAAACTTTAATATAGGTAAATAATAAACATATTAAAAACAAATTAATATATATTTTTATTGAATTGGTTGACGTCATCAGTGGGATGAATGTATTTGAAGAACAGTATCAAGGGCCTTATTTATTTATCGACGCCCTTTTAAGCCCAGGACATTTATCACGCCCCCCCTTTTGACCACTGGGTATTTATCGACCTGTAGAGTTCCATCGACCACCCTGGGGACTCCTGTTATAGGTAGTCTTAATCACCACGAACCAAATTCTCAAAATATTCGGAATCTACCAACTTCTCGACCCTTAAAATGCATGGGGATAGTTACGTACGCAAACTACTTATTTCCCGCCTCGGGAGAATGAACAGAGTGACAGGAGAGTTCCATTAGATTTATACTAAGTTGTTTGATTAATTCCTCTTAGTAACTAATCAACTAACCGACAATTCCAAGATGAACAAGATCACCATCATATTAAGAACATTTCAGTTGTATTCCTTCACGCAGGCAGCGTTTCAATTTTTTGATGCTTTCCTTACCAGGGCAGCCATTTTTTTCCATTACAAGACAAGCAACGTTTATACAAAGACATTTTTTTTTTGTAGATTTATATATTTTTATACTTGAATTTTTTTTCTTTTAAATAAAGGGTGTTTCATTAAGACGGATTATATATTAGGGTGTTTCATTAAGACGGATTAAAGTCAGCAGCAAATAAATCAGCGTTACTGGTGAAAATTTATTTATTTCTCTATTGGATCATGTTATTTAAGTCATGGAAATTATGTGTGAAAAATAATATCGCCCAAATATCCGCCAAATCTGAAAGAAAAAGAAAAAAATCATTAGACACTTAAACTTAATTCACATTAAAATCGGTCCAAATTATTGGAACAGGCTTTATAACTGGAAGAAGACAGACATACTGTCAAAATATGGATTTATTGCCAGAAGTGTTTTTTCTTTTCTTTTTCTTATTTTAAATCGTGCTCTTTTCTTAAGTGTTGAAAAATACGTCAACCATTTTTCAATAATAATAATAATAATAATAATAATAAAAAGTATATCTTATCAACATAGACTGAACAATACAAGCAAATGATGCAGACATTATTGTCAAAGACTGATAAGAAAAAATATTTGCACATTGATTGACATAAGCGCACAAAAACATCACTTTAAGGGTTTTGAAAAAAAAATTAAGTAAATAGAAAAACCCAGAGATAGAAATAGAACAAAATATGGCGCTTAAGAATTAAAACAATTAAATCTTTCTGGCTGATAAACAAAGGAACTTCAGAACACACCAACAAAATCCCTGGTGCACCATCTTTTCAGGAACCCCCTACCAAAAAAAAAAAAAAAAAAAAAAATTTACAAGCGGCGAAGAGCTTTGTCCATTTAAGTTTTTTTTTTTATTTTTATTTTTGTTGCTAATAGCTGTTTTTTGTTTGATTAAGTGGAAACAATAAGAAAATCATACCTTCCGATCTCCCTAAGGTTTGCTTTGGTGTATTTTGTATTACGACATATGACCCTGAATGGGTTATTTAATGCCGACAAGATTTTTAGGATAGGTTCGTATGAATAGTAGAATATGTATCCTTTATAAGAAATCAGTTTATAGATCAGAGTTTGGGTTTATTTTGTTTTACGCCATATCAACACCTCAAATAAGTTATCTAATGCCGACAAGATTTTTAGGATAGGTTCGCATGAATAGAATATGCAATCTTTATAAGAAATCAGTTTGTAGATTAGGGGTTGGGTCTATTTTGTTTTACGGCATATCAACACCGCAATGGGTTATTTAAGGCCGACAAGATTTTTACGATAGGTTAGCATGAATAGAATATATATTCTTTATAAGAAATCAGTTTGTAGATCAGGTTTTGGGTTTATTTATCTCGAAATAGGCATATCTGCTCAGTTTCGTATTCAAACGTAAACAAAGCAATTTCTAAAGAAGTAACGGTTTTTTTTTAATTTAAAAATCCGACAGATTTGTATCATTTAAACGTTATTTTTAGTGGATACCCATATGTAAGTAGACGCTCTGTTTATTTACTGAACATTATATTTATTTATGTTCGTTTGCCGGGCAGGATATTCGAGAAATCTTATTAAAGAAAATAAATATAAAGTTTAATAAATAAACGAGGCGTCTACTCAGATATGAGTATCCACTAAAAATAACTTTTAATTAATAAAATCTGTCGGATGAAAATAAAAATCCATTACTTCTTTATATGTAAATAATAAGTAAATATAAATAAATATATAAAACAGTTCTTTTCTTTAGTACAAGAAAATAATCATAATCTTAAAAAATGACTGGCTCCTCGTTTCCAAATATCCCTGTCTGTTAGAATAGCTAGATAATCCCTGTCGCAGACGCCTGTTCAGTAACATTTCTGTCTGTTCAACACCCACAAGGCCCACCTGTTGTTTATACTGCAACTATGCTGAGCAGACCTTAGTTACAGTTTCTGGAAGAGAATGCATAATCCGCCGTGGTCAAGAGTTTTGAACAAAGTCTGAACACTCAAGAACTTAGTCACGATGGCATGTACTTTCGTGCTACTAAAACCATCGACAGATTCCTAATTGCAAATGCAGGGCTTGGATCAACCGTGGTATGAACGTTAGAGAATTTTCGACGATGCAGCACGTAAGTATAGTCGCCTCCCCCATAACTACATGCATGCATTTGAATTTCTCTAGATATTTACACCTATATATTCATCTTTCTCTAGATATTTAGATATAAACGTTTGTCTTACACTATATATTTACACCTATACGTGTGTCTTCCTCTAGATTTTAAACTATCTTTGTCAAAAATTAGACCTATATGTTCGTCTTTCACTATATTTGTGTTTCTTTAAATTTACCTATAGGTTCGTCTTTACGTTTATCTTTGTCTCTAGATTTTTACACCTATACGTTTGTTTCTTTCTTTAAATATCTACACCTATATGTTCGTCTTTCACTATATATTTACACCTATACGTTTATCTTTCTCTAGATTTTTACACCTATACGTTTGTCTTTCTTTAAATATCTACACCTATATGTTCGTCTTTCACTATATAATTACACCTATACGTTTGTCTTTCTCTAGAGATTTTTACACTTATACGTTTGTCTTTCTTTAAATATCTACACCTATATGTTCGTCTTTCACTATATATTTACACCCATACGTTTGTCTTTCTCTAGATTTTTACGCCTATACATTTGTGTTTCTTTAAATATCTACACCTATATGTTCGTCTTTCACTATATATTTACACCTATACGTTTGTCTTTCTCTAGATTTTTACGCCTATACATTTGTGTTTCTTTAAATATCTACACCTATATGTTCGTCTTTCACTATATATTTACACCTATACGTTTGTCTTTCTCTAGATTTTTACGCCTATACATTTTTGTTTCTTTAAATATCTACACCTATATGTTCGTCTTTCACTATATATTTACACCTATACGTTTGTCTTTCTCTAGATTTTTACGCCTATACATTTGTCTTTCTTTAAATTTCTACACCTATATGTTCGTCTTTCACTATATATTTACACCTATACGTTTGTCTTTCTCTGAATTTTTACACCTATACATTTTTGTTTCTTTAAATATCTACACCTATATGTTCGTCTTTCACTATATATTTACACCTATACGTTTGTCTTTCTCTAGAGATTTACATGTGTACGGTGGTAGATCAATGATACATAGCTGAATTTTGATCTGAAATGTTCACTCTATAAGTTTCAATTTTCGTGATCAATATTCAATTCTGAATTAAGTATATTGATAACGAAGGACATTATGTTGAAAATATTGGCTAATACAAACGCCTCTTTTAGGTTACCAACTTATTTATTTACCTTAGTATATACATGTGTATATGTGTGTGTGTGTGTGTTTGTGTAAGTGCGTGTGTTCATGTGTGTACGAGGGTAGATCAATAAAAACATAGCATGATACTTATTTTAATCTCAAATTTTAACTGTAAAATGTTAAATATTTATGATTAATTTTCTAAATTATATTATGTGTCGACGAAGGAGATTATGTTGGAAATATCTGTTAAAAATGTGATTTTTTACGCATATATATATATATATATATATATATATATATATATATATATATCGTTCGTCCTCTGCATACGTGGATGTCCTTGTATTGCTGAGGGGGCGGAGATGACTAATGAGTCATATCTTCACCCTGAAAAATCTACTACTTAAAATACTACTCTTTATAATTAAGCTACACACTTACTAGTTTACCTAAATATGTACGTGTGTCTATGTATGTATAGATGTTAGTAGGTGTGATATAACATTGGGAGAGTATACCTGTGGTAATCAGGATCCCTCTCAAAAGCTGAGCAAAGTATTAAAAACAGAGAAATTTCGTTAAAACCAAAGACAAAAGTCAGTCATGTGCCATGCATGATACACGCTTAGGTGATCATGTATCTTTCGATACGTGACTGACTAGGCAGATTTTTCCCGCAGTAGGTTGCCATTTCCTTCTGCGGTAGACAGACTAGGTCTGTCCTGCTATTTGTCCATAACAGGGGGGAGAAGAAGAGTTCATACCTTTCCCGAGGGTATTAGTACGTAAGCGAATGTAATAGATTCGACTGGAAATCAAACTCAGCTTTCCGTTTCCTCAATCCGAGATGATATCCATTACTTCACCGCGCCTCCTGGAAATACTGAAATCTTATGCAATATCTAATCTCCTGTATGACAGTAAATGCTGGACAATTTCCTCACAGATGAAGAAGAGACTTGAAGCAAGAGAAATGTGGTTCTACAAAGGAAAAGAGTCCTGAGCGGCCATGTAATATCAGTCCTCCTATATGGCATTGAATGCTGGAAAATCTCCTCACAGATAAAGAAGAGACTTGAAGCAATAGAAATGTGCTTCTATAAAGAAAAGAGTCCTGAACTGTTACGTAATATCAGTCTTTCTATATGGCATTGAATGTCGGACAATCTCCTCACGGATGAAGAAGAGACTTGAAGCAACAGATATGTGCTTTTACAAAGAAAAGAGTCCTGAACTGTTACGTAATATCAGTCCTCCTATATGGCAGTGAATGCTAGACAATCTCCTCACAGACTTGAAGCAACAGAAATATACTTCTACAAAGAAAAGAGTCCTGATCTGTTATGTAATATCAGTCCTCCTATATGGCAGTGGATGCTGGATAACCTCAGAGATGGAGAAGTGACTTAAATCAACAGAGATGAGCTTCTACAAAGAAAAGAATCCTGAAGTGTTATGTAATATCAGAGCTCCTATATGGCAGCGAATGCTGGACAATCTTCTCACGGATGAAGAAGAGACTTGAAGCAACAGAAATGTGCTTTTACAAAGAAAAGAATCCTGAACTGTGATGTAATATCAGTCCTCCTATATGGAGGCGGACGCTGGACAATCGCCTCACAGATGATACTAGATTCAAGATAAATGTGCTTCTACACAGAAGAGAGTCCTGAACTGTTATGCAATATCACTCCTTTTATATGGCAGTCAATGCTGGACAATTTACTCACAGATAAGTCGTTGTAGTATCAATATAGCTGGCCACTCGTATTCGAGGACACCCGTCTACTAGTGCGGGTAGCCAATCCCTGTTGCAGACTCTTGCTCAGGCGCATTTGTATTTATTCAACACCCATAGAGCCCACCTGTGGTTTATACTTTAAATACGCTGAGCAGACCTTAGTTACAGTTTCTGGGAAAGACCTGTTATCTAACGTGATCAACAATTTGAACAAGGCCCGCACGCTCAATCCCTGGCAAATCGACCGTAGTGAGATTCGAACCCGGGTCTCGTGGCCAGAATGCGAACGTTCTAACCACTCGGCCACGAAGAGACCTGAAGCGACAGAAACGTGCTTCTACAAAGAAAAGAATCATGAACTGTTATGTAATATCAGTCCTCCTATATGGCAGTGAATGCTGTACAATCTCCTCACGGATGAAGAAAAGAAAAGACTTCTGTTATGTAAGCAACAGAAATGCTGTACAATCTACTCACGAAGAATGTTGAGAATACCATGAAACAAACATCTGAGCCACCATGAAGTCCTAGAACCTATAGAAACAAATAGGACATTTATATTTAACATCAGAAAGAGACTGGGAGTACATGATGAGGAAAGAGGGCTTGGAAAATTTGATACTCACAGAACTGATCGAAAGTGGGACCAAGGGAAGCTATGCACAGCCTGGCGAGTTTGAGTGAATGGATGGCAGATCAGGGTTGGTGAGAGATGGCAAAAGACAAAAGTTTTTTAGACCTACAAAGAAAAGGAAATTGTGGAGAGCCATGATCGCCAATGTCCAGAAAAAAAAAAAAAAAACCAGGATTGTTGCAAGTGTGTAAGAATTCACTCGCTTTTTTTTTTGTTTATATTCTTTTTGGCTTATTCTTTTTACTTATGTCACTTATATTCTTTGTTTACTTATATTGATTCGGAGACTATCTAAAGATAAGATCAAGGAGAATTAAATCCATGTAGACAGCCTTTAGCGGAAAACAAAATTCCAGGTCAGGAAGTTTGAAAACATTGATTTTGAAAATGATAAAATAATCTTAAATGTTAAAAAAAAAAAAAAAAGTAAATGTCCTGAAAACTTAAACAGCAACACAAGAAACAACTCACAACAAAAACAATATTTTTCGCAGTAAGGGAAAGCATGCGTTTAAAATAAAAAAAAATACAAGGCTTGTGGGGCATTTAAGGTAGAGGTTAAAATGGATATAGTGAATGTGATTCGCGAAGAGAACAAAAAAGAGAATGTAATGACGATAGATAAATTGTCAATTATAGAGAAAGCATCCACGTGGGAGTCTGTTTCCCAAAGTAGCAGTTCCTGTGAAAAAGTTGTCTGAGTGGAACTTTCTTCTTAGATTCGGGACACGGGGTGAAGGGACAGTGATTCGAATCTGTGGTTACGTCGTGTGAAGCAGTCACTAATGGATTAATTAAAAAAAAAGAAATTGTTTATAATATGCTTTTTTTTTTAAATAATTGCTCACCCAAGGCCCAAGTGCCGCTCAAAGTAGAGTGTTACTAAATGAAGTTCTTGTATGAGCTTAAGATGACGAGCTAAAAATGCAGTTTATGAGGATATATAGGAAAGATTAGCCTAGGAATTACCTTAGGAAAGGTTAACCCTAGATTTGAGAAGGTAAGACAGAGAAGCAACCCCTAAATAGTATGTTCCTTGAAGCAGTGCTAGTTGGGAAGAAGTCGTTCGAATAGAACTTCCTTCTTTCTTACAGAATACGAAGAAAATAGGGAAAATTCGTTCCAGTATAGGTGGCATGGCGGGTCCTAGCCGTAACGGTCTGAACTGGTGGAACTAATGAATGTAGCTTATTAGAACCTTTGCCATGGAAATTGCTACTAGAATTGCGACGGTTCGTCTCTGAGATAGGGGATTTAAAGTGGACAATAATTCATCACCCACAAGACCGGACAGTTGCTTCTGAACTCTTATCAAGACTGGAAAGTGAGGACGGCTGATCCAGTCCAGTTTTCTGGATCTTGTAAGGATAGAACCGAATATAGTTACAATTAGCACGTCCATTTAAAATAGAATTTATAATATATCTAAAAACGCTTGGATTGAAATAATTCTGATTTTCTGTTAATTGTAAAGTTCATTAACTATTCTTGTTATTGAAATTTGGAAACGGCATGCTGTACTGCTTGGCATTCGCGCCGGAAGCTTCAATACGAACATTTCAGAGTGTTTGGTTTGGTTTATTTTCTTTAACGACATATCAACCTCAATAAGTTATTTAAAGCCGACAACATTTTTAGGATAGATTCGTATGAATAGAGTATGTATTCTTTGGTTTAGATTGGTTTGGTTTATTTTGTTTTACGGCATATCAACCTCAATGGATTTTTTAATGCCGACAACATTTTTAGGATAGATTTGTATGAATAGAATATGTATTCTTTGTTTAGATTGGTTTGGTTTATTTTGTTTTACGGCATATCAACCTCAATGGATTTTTTAATGCCGACAACATTTTTAGGAAAGATTTGTATGAATAGAATATGTATTCTTTGGTTTAGATTGGTTTGGTTTATTTTGTTTTACGGCATATCAA